GGCCCCTTCATGACTGGTGGACTTCAACTCCCAGAATTCCTGAGCCGGCATGGGGGAACTATGGCTCCCTTCATGATTTGTGGACTTCAACTCCCAGAATTCCTGAGACAGCATGGGGGAACTATGGCCCCTTCATGACTCGTGGACTTCAACTCCCAGAATTCCTGAGGCAGCATGGGGGAACTATGGCCCCTTCATGATTTGTGGACTTCAACTCCCAGAATTCCTGGCTGAGGAATTCTGGAAGTTGAAGTCCACAAGTCATAAAAGGGCCACATTTGAAGGCCCCCTGCCATAAATGGACCATTGGAGGGGGGGAAGATGTCTTAAAAGCATCCTTGCAACTTGACAAAACGCCCACCTTGGGGAATTTGCTCTCCTCGTCGATGAGGGAAATGAGGTTCATGGGTTTGATGGCGATCATATCCAGAGCATCCTGATTGTCCGTGAATTCAATGTGCTGCCAGTTGATATTTTCCAGGTTGTACTCCTCCTGCTCCAGTTTGAAGACGTGACGCACAAAGAACTGTTGCAGGTTCTCGTTGGCAAAATTAATGCAGAGCTGCTCGAAGCTGGAGGGCGAGAAATATAGATTGATTTGCGACGGTGGCAACTACCGTACCACCGGCCCACGAACCCCTCAGAATCCAAATCAACCACACCGGCAACCGGCAACGGCACTGACCCTCAACCATCCCGCACAGTCCCCCACTCCCACCAGCACTTCACCTCCCAGTGATCCTCATCTGACATGATCTCCCTGTCATAAGACCCTCACTTGCCCCACACACACCTGACCCACCACAACACCCACTGACCGCACAAAGCCTTTGTAAGCAGAAAAAGACAGACACCGGCACGCCCTCAACTCCGCTGAAGAGGTTACCTAGCCTGGCAACGAAACGTTCAGAAACCAACCCACAAGCTCGGAGAACGAATCTCCGCACTCACAGATTGATTTATTGATTTATTCAACGTTTATACGGCCTGTCTTATTGTTACAAATAACTCAGGGTAGCAGATACACCTAATACGCCTTCCTCTTTGTATTTTCCACATAACAACAACCCTTTTCAGGTGAGTTGGGCAGAGAGAGAGGGAGGCGTAAAGTCACCCAGCTGGCTTTCATGTCTAAGGTGGGACTAGAATTCACCGTCTCCTGGTGATTGGCCCAATGCCACTCATCTGGGTTTCATACCTAAGCCAAGACTAGAACTCACCATCTTCTGATGATTGGCCCAAAGTCACCCAGCCAGCTTTCATGCCTAAGGCAGGACTAGAACTTACCATCTCCTGGTGACTGGCCCAAAGTCACCCAGCTATCTTTCATGCCAAAGGCAGGACTAGAACTCTCCGTCTCCTGGTGACTGGCCCAAAGTCACCCAACTGGCTTTCATGCCTAAGGCGGGACTAGAACTCTCTGTCTCCTGGTGATTGGCCCAAAGTCACCCAACCGGCTTTCATGCCTAAGGCGGGACTAGTATTTACCATCTCCTGGTGATTGGCCCAAAGTCACCCAACTGGCTTTCATGCCTAAGGCGGGACTAGAACTCTCTGTCTCCTGATGATTGGCCCAAAGTCACCCAACCAGCTTTCATGCCTAAGGTGGGACTAGAACTCACCGTCTCCTGGTGATTGGCCCAAAGTCACCCAACT